AAATCCCAGCAATAATACATTATACAGCGCAATGCAGAATGCCGCCAGCTATAATGTACTATTGCTGGGATTTGTTGTATTCCTCTATAGCTGGCGGTATTCTGCATTGTGCTGTATAATGTGCTTTTGCTGGGTTTTGTAGTCCTCTATAGCCGGTGCCAGTCTGCATTGATTGCTGTATAATTTTACACTTTCCATTTCACTATATTGCACACCACCACTATCTTTTTTTCTTTACTTCCACCACTCCAAGTTTATTTTCGTTACAATTAGAATGGAATTCAAATGTTTTCATGCAATATCACATTATAGCCTTATGCGGAGCTGGCTAAAGGAGCATAGGTAAGTATTTACTTTCTTTGCTCCTCAGTGTCATCTTGTGGCCATAATACAATATTTCAAAATACATTCCCTTATAAAAAAACAACTAAAAGTTCATTGTTGCATATATTCAAACAGAATGAATGTTCAGATATTTATAGGACGAACGTCCCTATGAATAGTTTATAAATAGACCCTGAAGTGTAGGTACCATTTCGATTTCCAGTCATATTCATCATTTCATCTCCAGCTATTATCTACATAATTTTCAGCCATCACTCTTTAGTCTGAGAGTGTAATGTGGTCTGATTTTGTACTCTTGCCAGTCAGAACTGGGCTGATTTATTAACCACCTTCCGTCCATGGCCGTTTGTGAACGGCCGGACGGAAGTCTGCTCAGAGCGGGTGGGCGTCTTTAAGGTTTTGAGAATCTTCATCCAATAAATTGATTTAATGTGATATTAGACCTTCATTATTATATTTGATTAGTTTTTTTTTTCTTAAGAGGGCCTGACATGACTGAAGTGCCTTTATTTTTTTTTTTAATTCCTTTTTCTAGTTTCCTCGTTCTCTAGTTGTCCCCAAACCGCTGGCCCTCCCTTGCGATGTGCAGGTGTCTCCATCAGCAAGCGTTCTCAGACATGCATAGCTTGCAGCAAGACCCCCCCCCCCCCTCCCCCCGCTCAAAGGGATAAAAGCAACCACAAGTAAGTGTGGGGGGACAGGGGTTTTAGAAAAGTACTGGCTGGGAGTTTTTTTTTTTAACGTAGAGCATGCATGAAGGAAAAAACGCCTACCCTTTAGTAACTCCTTTTAAATATTCACTTCAATTAACCAATCATGTGAAAAGCAAATTTCTGTTCACTTTAAATGCTCAATCATGTGTGATGGATAATTAAAGGGAATTTCCATGCTATTTATTTTGTCAAGATTCTCAACTTGCTTACAAAATCAGCCTCATTGTATTTAAATACTACTAAAAATAAAAAAAGTTTAGGCAAAATATTGAATCCATAGAAAAGTATTTTTACAAACTCATTTTAATTAAAAAAACTAAATGTTTTAGCTGTATCCACTCACCCTTCAGCAACTGGATATGTCATTGAATTGAAACCTATTTAGGCTTATGATTTTAGAATGGCTGGGCAATCCCAGTTAGTCTAGTGTGTTAAATAGACTCCTGTTTATGTGAGATGATATGAGCTTCTGTGGGAAGGAAGACCTAGAAATAGATCTTTTTTTCCCTGAAAGACATTACCGATTTGGCTTCCCAAATTTAATTTTCTTTTTTTCTTTTAAATCTAGTGTATTTCATGGGTATCCAGAGTTGCATAACAATATATAAACCGCCTCCACTCTCACCAGCACTCCTAAGTGCCTAACCCCCATCAACTGCACTCACCACTACATCTGAATTCCTAAAGCCCCACCCATTGCCCACTCTCACCACCACTACTAAACGCCCTACCCCATTACTCCCCTGCTCTCGCCAGCATACCTGAACACCTAACCAGACCGCTCATCCAGTCTCTGCAGCACACCTGATCACCCCACACACTCACCCCATCACTGTGCTTAACCTCACTATCTCCACCACCCTACCCTTGCCTGTTGTGGGCATACAATCACTAGTCAGACACAAAAACAAGGTTTTAAACGTTATGGCTAAATACTAAATTTACTTCCTGCCAATGGACTTGTGATTGCATACATTCCCACACTGCACGACAGGTGAAATACACAGTTCCTGAGTTAGTTTATGTTGCCTCCCTACTTCTTGCCTCTACCTCTTCCTCACAATGAATCCGCTTCACCACCTACTGTATGTCCACTGAGCAGGGCTCTACCTAGGGATGCAGGAATACTGAATCGGGCAGTAACAAAGTTATTAACCTAACTGGCATAGGTATGTGTATCACCAGAATGACTAATCTAAGAAATGGTTTAGTAGATGAAACGGTAACTATATGTATTTAACCATCTACCTGGCATTCCAATTTTATTCATACATTAGCATTACAATGCGGGTGATCCATTGGTGAGGGTAAACACCTTTTTACATTCTGTGTTCGAGTCTGAAAGAGAGGAAGTGAGTTTGAGCTCTGGAAGAAAGCAAGCCATATTCTGATGTGGAATTGTAATCAATCTACCAAATCTCATGCCTCTTTTCATGCTACATGCTAGTTAAAACTTGTTTAATTAATTTCCTTGCCTGCAATACACCTTGTCCACACCTATTAATCATTTTGCTTCTTGTTCTGCAAGTAGGTCTGTCAGCTCACCTTCAGCATTTGAAGTTTATTGGCATCATTGACGAGACTGTCATCTAAAACTGTCAAGTGAAGGTTTATGACTCAGACCCAGATTCAGTGCAAACTCGGTTACAGAATGGGAAAGGCATAGCATGCTTCCTCTTTTTAGCTAAATATAAATCTGTGATGGGAAGAACAGGTGGTCATATTCATATCATGACTGCATAACTATGATATTAGTTTGCATTCTGTGGGTTTTAAACATTGCAGTGCGATTTAATAGACACACATAATACATTAAAAGTAGTTGTGTGATTTGTCAAAGGAGCACGTACTATATATTTCCATTGCAGATTGCTAAAATATGATTATGGGGGAGAAAGGTGCTTTATAAATGTTTGTTTATTGAAATTACACCGAAATCTAGAATGTTTGGAACAACATATTTCAAAATTGTGTATAATAACCCCACAAGGTAACTTTTCCACTCAAAATATTGCAAACTAAAAAATATAATTAAAAAATTATTATTATTTTTTTTTAAAAGGTGATGCTTTTTTGTAGGAAAGAGTTTTTAATGAAATATAGAATGAAAGGGTAAAACATTCTGTAAGCTCTCATGGGCAGGACCCTCCTAACCAGCTTGACTTGTATTGTAAATGTCTTTATATTGTAAAGTGCTGTGCAAACTGTTGGTGCTATGTAAATCCTGTATAATAATAAAAACAAAAATGTAATCTATTGCAGCTTACCAGTCCTTCAATGTGGTGCCTGCATTAGATTTGTTATAGACCTTTTTTCTCTTTGATTTCACTTGGTAATCCTAAAAATAACAAACCTCCTGCGTCTCTAGGTGCCTATGCTCACTCCCGTATGTATCTATGGAAGGAGCCATAATTGTCACCAGGCTGGACTTCAGACATATTTTCCTTTTTTGTTTACCTTTTATTACATATATATGGGTTTACGGATTAGTTGTTGAAACGAGAAAGATGAAAGTGTTTTGCTTCCAGTTTATTTCACAGGAAGTGACGAGGACAAAACATTTCTAGCAAGATCAACAGGTATTTTCTGTTCTTGCTCAAAATGTTCTTAGATGTGGTGTCTGTTGTTGGTTTTTTTTTTTTTTTTTTTTTCCTTCCCTTCCTAGGCTAAGGACTGGCAAGCTTAAATATATTCCATTTTTGTTCTTGGGTTTAATCATGCTTTAAATGAGAAGTGTTGATGTTGTCTGTAGTAGCTAATAAGAGCCTTGATTTTTATATTCTAACCTGAAAATACCATCTGCTATACTATGTGCTGTATGCTATTATTTTATTTTTTATTTTTTCTGTGGACCCTGATTTTATTATTTTATTAATTTATTTTTGATTGGGACTTTGATTACATTTTTTAGTTCTTCAATAAATGTTATCATTTTAGCCATGTAGAATATTAATTCTACTCCAAGAATGACTTGTTTTTCAAAATACATATGGTCAGTGACACATTATATGAGAAAAGGTGAAGGAATGATTGCAAAGTATACAGAACATTTTTTATTTTTTTAAACTTTGATTTGCTATAAATGGTAGACTGTGAAGAAAATTCAGGAAACAACTGATATCCCACAATTGTAGATGCTTAGCTGGATAGCTAGCACCCCAAGCATAACTCCTACACTTACTGAAAAATGGATTGATGGCAAAAAATATTCAAACAAGCCAATAAGCTTTTACCTTTAAAATGAGCTCCGACAAGGGAGTCTGCCAATAAGTGATATACAACTTGGTTTTAATGACTAAGTTATGGGTTTTAGACATGAATTGTCTAATGTCCTTAGGTGGGCAACCAGTGGATACACTCAAATTGTTCATACTAGTTATCTAATAATTTATAATTTGAGAAACAAACTTGGGAATCCCAAATCAATCACAAACTGACAAATGAATGCACTGATTACAATGTAAAGAGTTGAGCACATATACTTGATGGCTTGCCTGGAATCTGTATTTCAAATGTGCTTAGGAAGCATTTTGAATGTGTGTAGATCAGTGTCGTATTACATTTTTCTAGATTCACTTACATTCCATCTGGTTTTTTTTTTTTTTATCTTGTACTGCTATCAATTCATGGCAAATTCAGACCATGCATTTCCAATGTGTCTGCACATTTTGAGGTGTTTCTATTAAAATGACCCTGAGAAATGAAAAAGTGACAGTTGCTGATCAAACCAATTCTAAATGTATCCCAAACACATGTCAAGGGCAAAAAAAATTAATGTCTGAACATGCATTAAATGTATATTAAAGATGCATATGCCTACACCTGCCTCCTTTTAAACTTGGCACCTATCTAAGCCTCAGGCAGAAGTTTTGAGCTTATAGTCTTCCTCTTTCCTGAGGTTCCAGAAATGCATTCAAAATTTGTCTAACCTTTATTTTGTAGGTGCTGTTGATGTGGCATCGCGAAGTCCTATGGCATCTTGGTTTAGTGCCATGCTCTGCTGCTTTGGTGGGGGAATCTTATCATCTTTAATGCTTGCAGAACCTCCCATAGTTATCTTCTCAAACAGCACTAATATCATTTTTGCATCTGTGATTTGGTAAGTTTGACTATTGCATATTTTTATTTTTTAGCAATGTGATTTTATATAAATCAATACCAATGCATTTGCAGTCCATGTGCCTGAAATAATTAAACCTCTAAACTGGTGTTGTTTTTTCAGAAACCAGTTATTGTAATAAGATTTATTCTCTGGTCAATTAAGGGACAAAAGGTTTAATAGGTAAAATGTTCTGAGCACTATCAAAGCCATCACTACCAAAGGGCTTCCAGTTCCCAGGACAAACCCCTCCCCCCGGTAATTCTGCCCAATCACAGCTGCCACCGCACTTGTTTCAGCATCACTGCACAGCTCTGGGTATGGCAGACTGGTTTCAAATGATCCAATAAATGTGCAGTGATTGTTGTGGGTCCTTCTTACTGTGTATTCTCTGCCTCTAGTGGTCTCTGTGCACTAGACTAGCTACAGGCAAAACAAAAGACAGGGTGATATTGTGATGACCATATCTGTGAACTTTCCAAAAATCAGTGAGCCAAGATTTGGGGCTGGATGAGCAGGGGAGGGGCTAACAGTGGCATGTAGTCCCACGGGCAGTCATCTGACCTTTTACGGTGATCGACTGCCCTGGCCAAAAGTCCTAGAAAGCGAGAGGCGGAAGCAGTTTTCATAGTAATCAAAGTAAGTGGCTGGGGACAGATTTTATGCAAACATATTGCTGTATATGTTTTCAACATATACCTGAATATGTAACCGGTTAAAAAGAGGAGGGTTTAATACTACTTTAAGTTGACAAACTAATACAGCTGTGCGGCTAAATGGGGGTCTGACTAATGTGTTAGCAGTTGTTGAAGGATTTTTTTTTTTGTAAATGTTTTAACTATTTCTTTACATTTCATATTTATAATACACGCGCACTAGGGCAATGTTGTGAACAGGATCTATAAGGCCGGGTTCACAAATGTGGTAAAAAAAGCTCCTGTGGTATTTTGCGTGACATCCCTTCTGCAGCTTTTGCTTCTCTGCTTGTTCACATTTTCATGCGTGCAAACGCAGCGCAAACATGTGTCTTGCTGGCCATGTTTCGGTGCCGTTAAAAATGAGTGACCTTGCAAGCGCGTTACACGTTTTTGCCAGGTTTCCGCGAACATGTCCCGAACATGCACGAAAACGTGCGCTTTTGACACGTGATCGCAGAGCACGCAGGTGTGAATAGGGCCTTAGCGTGTGTGCTTGTTTTTTCCTTCAATACTCTATCTTTTTATGTAGATAAGTATATGAAAACCCTTTTTAACACTTATTAATTAAGTTTTTTTTTCCCAGTGTATGACTTTTTTTTTTTTTGAAAGCAGATATTTTAAAGTGGGTCTCCCTTTTATAAAGTGAAGATTTTGTATGTGATATAGCAACATTGAGAAATGTGTAATTAAGCCTAAGCAGTACCCTGAAAAGATTTACTGGAATGTGAGTGTGCCACCGCACTGTGCATATAGTCTAATATCTGCATAGTGATATCTAAGTCACTGCTGCCTCTAAATGCTAGTTTCAGGAGATTTGGCTAGGGTCAGTATATTTGGGTATCTCTAAACTGATGACCTGGGGGGGCTTTTAAAGCGTTGTCTAATGGTACTAAAGTTTGTCACCGTTTCACGGACGCACACAATTTTTAACCTGGGCATGTTTGGTATCTATTTACTCATTGTAACCTCATCTTTTATATTTTTATTGTGTTTTGGGGCATTTAAGTAAATGTTTCACTAAATTTTGGGGTTTGATAAGGATTTGTGCTAATATTGTGCAACATAAAAATTAGCAACTGCCACCATTTTATTCTATAGGGTCTTGGCTTTCAGAAAATATATATAATGTTTGGGGGTTTTAAGTAATTTTCAGGCCTAAAATGGGGAATATAACATGAGTGCAAAAAATGGAAAAAGAAAAAGGCCTCAGTCATGAAGGGGTTAAGTGCCACATTACATGGCACTTTTATTACTTTGCTTTAATCTTTTTTTTGTCAGAATTTGGAACTGGTTGCTGTACATTCAGAGACTGATCCTTCAAATGATTTGTGTACAGTATACCTGCCTAACTACATTTGAAAGCTGACCGCTTTTTGGCAATATGAAGCTCAAATATTACATTAAAAACAACTTGCTTAAAGATTACAGCCCATTGTATTGAAAAATTCCTATAACTCCAGTGCCATCTGCTGGCATCATATTATTATAGCAACTATAGCCTAAAGGTAACAGGATATTAGAGATACAAACACATTAAATACAGAAGGGCCCTTTCTGTCTTTCTAGTCGAATCTGTCTCAGATATTAAATCTATTTTTTAAAATTCTAATCTCTCATATATTTTACATTGCTATCTTACTGTCTTGGGTATCTCGTGTAATATATTTGCCTGTCTTGTGTATCCAATTTTCATGTTTGTCTGTATGTCTCGGGTATCTTATCTCATTTATTTTCCTATCTGTCTTCAGTACCTTGTGTACAAAATACATAAAGCTACCCACTGGTATGTGGTGGTTGGTAAAGGGCTACCATTGTTAGATGCTTGAGATTTTAAACACTTGCCTTTCTTATATGTTATGGGTACTCTGTTGGTTTGAAATCTGTTAGACAACATACTCCACCTGTTACTAAATTATAACTTTTGAGTGAACCATCTCTTTCAGTAAGGGCTTGTTTTACTAGATTCATTGTCTTGTGTTTATACAGAGGTAGTAAAAATGGATTCTGTTTCCACCAATGTGTTTCATTGCTGTGCATGGAAAAAGTGTATCATGCTGCAATGGGAGTTGTGTTGATCTGCATTTTGCCTTTCATTCGTTGACCTGGATTCTTCAAAAAGCACACCACTAAGTGTGTTTGTGAAGCAAAAGAACAGAACAAACCATAAAGCAGATTAGATTTAATCTTTTTATATATGCCCCTAATACAAAGTTCTTGGGGTGACCATGCTAATGTGAATTCCTCCAATTGTAAATATAAAAGATTTCTATGTATATGTCCTATGTGCCTAGCAGACACCCAGGCACTGATTTTTCTTTTTAATTTGTTTTTTTCTCCTTAACATTAAAATACAGCTAAATTTAGGACCCCCCCCCCCCAAAAAAAAATAAATAAATAAAATAAAAATAATAATTGCTAATGTCCCAGTATACCAGAGAAGTTTTACACAACCGACCAATTATGTTTATGGGTTAATTTCACAGTATTGGATACTATGGTTAGCACTTAAGTGACAGATACGTGAATGTCAGAGTAGTGGCTCACCTCTCACAACTTCTTCTTAAGGGTTCCATCAAGGATTTAGTGAGGGCTTGTTGTCTGAATAAAGATAACTGCTATGCTATCTTTAGATATTCCATAGTGCTCTGGGAATGCGTCATGTAATGTTTGTAATACAATGTGTGTGTATATACAGTACAAAAGAGATAATTTTGTAATGATAGACTTTTAAAATTGAACCAACTGGAGAATTTTCATTCTTGCATCGGAGGTCATCTTGTATTTGTCATTTGCTGGTATCCCATTTCTGATAGGTACGGGAGTAGATGTTTGAAAATAAAAGGATTCAGCAGAACAAAATGTGGCTATTGGAATCTGTTTACTGCGATTGAAAATGAGAGAAAAACATTACAATTAAGCTTCACTTTCACTTTGTTTTCTGCCACTGAAGCCTGTAGACATATGACCTTGGGCTCCATTCACACCTGAGCGTTTGCAGTTCAGTGCATTTTTTTCTTTTTTTTTGCATATTCGTGCAAAACGCGCTGCAACCACCGAGAAAATCATGCATGTACTTTTTTTTAGTTTTTTTTTTAGCCACACGTACGACTGCGCAAGTGTGAACAAGCCCCATTAAGGAAAGTATACTGCTTCTTTGGGTCTGCTTCCTATACTTTGCTTATTGGTAATCCAGCAGCATTGTCTCTCCCCCCTTCCCCAGAATAAAAGCTGGGATTGTCTATTCTTACACTCACCGGCCACTTTATTAGGTATACCTTGCTAGTACTGGGTTGGACCCCTTTTGCCTTCAGAACTGCCTTAATTCTTTGTGGCATACATTCAACAAGGTGTTGGAAACATTCCTCAGAGATTTTGGTCCATATTGACATGATAGCATCATGGGCCCAAAGTATGCCAAGAAAATATCCCCCACACCATTACACCACCAGCCTGAACCGTTGATACAAGGCAGGATGGATTCATGCTTTCATGTTGTTTACGCCAAATTCTGACCCGACCATCTGAATGTCGCTGCTGAAATCGAGACTCATCAGACCATCCAATATTTTTCCAGTCTTCTGTTGTCCAATTTTGGTAAGCCTGTTCGAATTGTAGCCTCCGTTTCCTGTTCTTAGCTGACGGGAGTGGCACCCGGTGTGGTCTTGTGCTGCTGTAGCCCATCTGGTTCAAGGTTCGACGTGTTGTGCGTTCAGAGATGGTATTCTGCATACCTCTGATGCAACGAATTACTGTTGCCTTTCTGTCATCTCAAACCAGTCTGCCCGTTTTCCTTTGACCTCTGACATCAAGGCATTTTTTCGTCCACGCAACTACCGCTCACTGGCTATTTCCTCTTTTTCGGACCATTCTCTGTAAACCCTAGAGATGGTTGTGCATGAAAATTCCAGTAGATCGGCAGTTTTTGAAATACTCAAACCAGCCTGTCTGGCGCCAACAACCAAAGTTACTTAAATCCCCTTTCTTCCCCATTCTGATGCTCAGTTTGAACTTCAGCAAGTAGTCTTCACCACATCTAAATGCATTAAGTTGCTACCATGTGATTGGCTGATTAGCAATTTGTGTTACCAAGCAATTGTACAGGTATACCTAATAGTGGCCGATAAGTGTATTTTACATAGGCTGCATGCTGAAAAGTTTTTTTTCCTTCTTGCCATTTAGGTATATGGTATATTACTTTCCACATGACCTGGTCTACAGAATCTTCAGCTTCCTACCTCTCCGAGTTGCTGCTGCAGCAATGAAGGAAGTGACCAGAACTTGGAAGATCTTATCTGGAATCACACAGGCACATAGCCGTTTTAAGGATGCCTGGCTTGTCATGATTGCAAATGGCTGGGCTAAAGGTAATGTGACAATTTTTTGATGCAAATTGAAGTAGATTTAATGTAAAGGAGAGCTAAAACAAAACGTCTATTTTTCGAACTGTAACTACATCATGTCAGAGCAACTCTAGAGTAGTGACGATCATAAAACTTCAAAATGTTGAATGTTCTTTTTAAAAAGTGGATACTGTTACTGTAGCAAGGAAAATGTGAGAATAGTGATGGATTAAGTACAGTATACTTTTTGCTAGTACAAAAACACCTGAGGTGTGGTAGAAAATATTTATGCATTTTGCTTAGGACAAAGACCTTTGATAATAATCACGTTTTATTATCCTAGCAATTGTGAGCAGATGTTAATGAAATCGTGCACTTAAATTTTGCTCTCAGCTTCATGCCATACAAAATTTAAATATGTGGTTTATTAAGGAGTATCACTCCAAACCTATGTTATGTAAGACTTTAAGAGACTACAGACATACAAGAGAAAATGATAATTGGAGATTATGGACATGCTACAGGTTTGGGTGGAGACTAGAGACATGCTGAAAAATACAGTGAGTTTTGGGGACATGTTAGATGTGGCTAGTAGTGATTACTGCCACTACAGACTGCTGGGGTCCAAGGTCCACACAAGTACCTAAAGGCTGCAGGTTGGGCAACAGGCCATTAAAGCATTGTAATGCAGTCTTAAAGTACAACCATTATTGATGATGATTCACAACTTCCAAATAGGCAAAATTTGAATGAAAACTGTACTGAAAAGGACATGATAGATTGCTGGCTGACTGGCTGCCATGTTGATCCCATTGCTTTATTTCTTTCTTAGGCACTGAGTTAGAACAAGTATGCATGAATTCTGACTGCACTCATTTTAATGTGTTAAGTCTGAGGCAGCCAGGCAGCTAGAATTCTTAGGAACGGCAACTCCCATAATTCTGTCCTTGCAGGTTCCTTCTAAAGGCAGGGAACTGATTTTCATTTTCTATTTTATTTCTCAGCGGCATAGTCCATAGAAACACTCGGAAAATACAGCCAGTTTCTTATCTTTATACTTGTTCCTGGTCAGTGTCTTGGAAAGTATTGAGAACAAAGTATCAGTCTGACAGAGGTCAGCTATGGCAGCCTCCATATTCCTTCACTTTAAAAACAGCAGGAGCAGAGTTTGTTTCTATAGCAGGAAACAATGCAATGGTTAGTAGTATCCAGAATCAGTGCAGTTAAATGTTTGTGATAAGAATATGCAAATAAATCATAGTTGTGGCATTTTAAAATGGTAGCAAAATGAGATGCAGTAAACAGTAAATTGGATAATAGTCAGCGTATATAGTAATTTAGTATATTTACATGTCTCTGTTAAGAAAAACATAAATATGGAAAATGTGTTTTTGAAATGCAAATGTTAAAATAAATGCATGTAATATTTATCTCCAAAATGATTTATTATAAATAAAAAAAGGAATGTATTAAAAAAAAATGAATCCACCAGCTATAAAGGAAGGAAAGGTAATTGAGTAAAGTGATTCTAACTTAACTGAATTCAACTAGTGGTACTTATGGACTGGTATATGACAGCTATCATCTGTCTTCGGCCACAGACCTTGCATACAGTAGCAAAACAGTGGCTCAGTTGCTATGCAATTAACAGCTGTCATCTGCTCTTTGTTTTCCTGGGGTAGGGACAGCAAACCAATCACTTCTACTTGTATAAAAGAAGCATTTTCCTTTTTTGAAGCCTTTTAAAACCGACATAATTGGAAAACCACAACTAGGATGATTTATTTACTTGGTACTTTAAAATTTGCTCTTTCATTGGTTAGGTTGCCCACAGACAAGCAGGTATTTCCCCAAGAAGGACAGTTGGAGAAATCGCTTCCTGTTTTCATATCAGTGACTGCAGCTTTGTGGCCTGCCATGGTTCTTACTTGATGGTAACGGAGTATGATCATACTTTGATCTTTTCATCTCCTTTATAGAAAAAGGAAGGATAGGTTTTTCCAATAAGCCGAAACACATCCCACTGCAATAACACGTGTGTCTGACTGCTAGTCCTAGCTCATTATCGCCCCTTTAGAAGGCAAGTCTGGATTTATTCTTCTTGCCTCTTTACAACTGCTGTCTCTCCCCCACCCCATCTTAGCCAGGTCAGTTTGGTGAGTTTTAGTATCAGACAACATACTGCACAGGGTTCTTCGTGGCTAAGGATGGATATGTTGAGACTGGTGCTCTAAAACAGTACATGTACTAATGAATAGAAGAGTAGGGTAAACCCTCACCCTTCTTTACTAGGAATTTGTTTCTAGCAGGAATTTGGTTCTCGGAGTAGGTGAATTGTATGCACACAGTTCAAAATACCCTAACTGCATAGGAACAGCGACCGTGAGAACCCAGCTAAATTGCACTGGCTGGCAGGATGGCAGCCAATAATGTTTCATAATACAATAAAATGTGTTAGACAGTTATCAACATCATTTGTGGGAAGCTTTGTACCACCCTGGGCTACAGCCTATGTTAGCAATTTTAGGAGGTCAGAAATGGCATAACCAAATGATGCTTTAAATCTGGAACAGCGCTTGTTGTTGTTAGGCAGTTAATGGTCCTCAATTTATGCTTATTTTAGGATGAGCATGAAGCAAATCATTTACGCTGGTTGTTTGTTTTAAATACATGGTATGCATATTTTGTCTCCAGCTGCAGGTGGTGGTCTGATTTCTAACTTTGAACAACTAGTCCGAGGTGTCTGGAAACCTGAAAATAATGAACTACTGAAAATGTCATTGTAAGCAAATCTATTTTGTTGTTTTTCCTTTTTAATGTTTATATTTGAACGAGTCTTTGGCAGAAAGTGATATACTTTTTTTCTGGGGTGGTTTAGAGCAATACTGTTAATATGGGGCACCAGTACTTGGCCACCACCAAGTGAGTCCAGCATTTTAGGGCAACGATTAAAGGTTTTCTTGTGCTTAAGAGTTAAGTGTTAGGGTTAAAGAAGAACTATAGACCCAATTTAAACTTTGCTGCAGGAAGGCATTTTTTTGCAGAAGAGATTATATATGTGTCTGCCAGCTCCTCTTCTCCTAAATGTAGACTGACCCGCATGTGCGCAGCTCTGTGCCAGGGTGACAAGATAAACTTGATTCCTGTACGCATGCGTGGCTCAGTGCCTTGGATCTAGGATGAATGAAACCCTGTGCACATGTATGAGAGTTAGGTCATCCCAGGCTTGCCAATCATCAAGGTGGCTGAAGATGCAGAGCCTGCAAGAAGATCGGGTAAAGATCAGTCAGCACCAACAAGAGTGTTTACGGATGTCGCATCACTGGAGGGGGAGGTAAGTATTCTGTACTTTTAGTTCCACTTTAAGGTGAAGTGTTTGGCTTAAAGTTGACCTGACCTCAAAAAGTGAAGATTTGATGTTACGGGGGACATTTAGAAATGTGAATTGTGCCTAAGCAGTGATCTGAAAATATACCCTATGCCTGGAACTCTTTCTAAAAAATTACAGTGCATTTCCTTAGGGCTGCAATCAACTAATCGATGAATAGTTGCCAACTATTCTCATTATCGATTAGTTGCTTGGATCCCCCAACTCTCTCCACCACACTGGGAGGGCACAGCTAGCAATGGGCGGGTGCAATAACCAGCCTGCTATTGCAATTTGAAATGCCCAATAGCAGGCTGGCAATTGCACCAGCCCCACTAACTGCTGTATTTACATTAATCTGCCATCTGTGGAATCTTGCAACTGGCAGCTGTCATTCCTTGGCTGACGCTATCCAAGTGCCATGTGCTTACAATACAATTATTTAAAAAAATAAAATGATAAAAGGTGGGAAAAAAGTCATTTTCGGTTTCGGCCTGACAAATTCTGCTGCGGGAGGTGCTTTGCGGTGCTATTCATTTCAATGGCACCCCAAACGCACCTCCCACCCACAGTGTGATCGCACGCACTGAAGCACACATGGTACCACAATGCCGTGCGTTTCAGTGCAGTGCAATTGCAAAATATTGCGCACGCAGTTTTATTCAGAAGTAAACTTGTAACACTGCATTTGTGTATTTTAATTTTAAATTAAGAATGGTATTTAATTTTTTTAAAATCCGATTTAATCTGAAAAATAGTCGGCCAACTAATAGATTATGAAAATAATCATAAGTTGCAGCCCTACATTTCCTGATATGCAAGGGTGCTTAGGCACCCCTTTGCTTGCAGCCTTATAGCTGTACATTTGCAGTGTTGGATCCAACTGCTAGTTTCATGAGATTCGGAGTAAGATTTAGTGATGTCACTCCAGTGCTGCTCACAGTTTATCTTTGCTGGAGTTGCTGACGTAAGGAAGCAAAGCTGTGCCTCCACCATATGGCCACTTCCACATGGAGACCCAATGCAGAGCAAAGCATGGTAAGTCAGTAATGGGGCAAGATCAGCTGAAGGGAGCCGATAGGCAATGCTTGCTAGTCCTTTGCTCATGTCTGCTTTTTTTTTGTAAACCACTTTCCCATGCTTAACACTACCTGTAGCACCAAGGCCTACAATATTGCAATTGAGGATCTAAAGCAGTCAAGTTTTGAGAATCGCTTTTAGTGTTCTCGGCTTGGCCCACTTAAATGTATATACAGTATATTTATAATATTATTTTGTAATGCTTTGTAATATTTGCTTTATTTGCAGTCCTGTTAAAGTCAGTCTATTTGGAGCTGTTTTGTTCACGCTGCAACAAATTCAGGTTCTCCCTATAGCAAGATACCACCTTATGTTTATCTACACCATGTTTCTAATTACTACAAAGGTAGGTATGGTGCAAGTAAATTGTTTGTTTTTACAGGAAGGCGTTACTGGAACACGACATTTTTTTGCAAATTAAACATGACCTATGTTGGTTTTACTATGTGCTGAAAATTGTTTTAAGATGAGTTGTTGTTTACCATAAAATCCCTTTTTTTTTTTAACCTGGAGATAGGATCCAATCATGTTAGTCAGCCTATTTAAAAGGAGAAAAGCGATCATTCTGCTGTTTGGTGGTATTGTGTGTACCACACTGTACATAGACCAGAAAGCAAAGGAGAGTGTTGTAGACCAGCATGTCAAAGTTAGAAGACTATCTCCAAGCAGCTTAATGTTCTTGTGACCACAGTTGTAAATGTAATTATAGAGGTTATGGTCTAGGATAGTGTAGTCAACCTCCCTGGATGTGACTGCAGAAGGAAAATAAGTCTCTGATTGAACAGAAGGAAAGTGCGAATGGTAGACATAAAGCCAAGGAAAACTTGAAAAGAGATGCAAACTGAGCTCTAAGATCAAGGTACGGTGCTTTCTGAGAGTATTCACACCTTTTGGTGTTTTCCTGTTTTATTACATTTCAACCTGGAATTAAAATTAACTTTTTGGGGGGTTTGTACACACAGCATGCCTACTACTTTGTAGATGTAAAATAATTTTTATTATGACAAAAAAAATAATTTCAGACAACAAAAACATAAATCTTAAGTGTGCATAAATATTCAGTCTATACGTTGTAGAGCCACCATTTGCTGCAATTACAACTGCAAGCCTCTTGGGATATGTCTCCACTAGCTTCGCACATCTGGCCACTGGGATTTTTTCCCATTCTTCAAGGCAAAAGTGCTCCAGCTCCTTGAGGCTATGTTCACACCATGTCCACATCAGGTCTGGAGCAGATCTGCAAACACAGTGCAGTGCATTTTTCCTGTGTTTTTTGCCACGTTCCAGTGCGTTTTTAGCTTAAAATTGGCTTTCAGGTGTAGTACAGTGCGTTTGTATGATTTTATCTTGTTTTTAAATGCATTCCAGTGCATTATGGACCAGAGAAAACGAGACCAGCAGTATTATTTTTGTTGTTGTGTGGACCGGAATGGGCTGCGCTGGTGTTAAAAGAGCATAAAAATACCATAGGAATACTATGGGATGCTTTTTTGGTCAGGGAACAACTGTTTAAGCCCTTAAGTTTAGATGGTTGCGTTTGTGTATAGCCAAGTTATGCCACAGATTCTCCATTGGATTCAGGTCTGGGCCTTCACTAGGCCATTCCTAGACATTTAAATGTTTCCCTTTAAACCACTCCAGTGTAGCTTTAGCAATCATTGTCCTTCCAGAAGGTGAACCTCCATCCCAGTCTTAAATCTGTGGCAGACTAAAAGTAAAAAGGTTTTCTTCTAGAATTGCACTTCATTTAGTGCGATCAACTTTTTCTTTAATCCAGACCAGGTTTCCGGTCCCAGCTGATGGTGTTCTCCTGGGGAAGTGTTGTGTTCGCACTGCACATAGCGTTTCCCATTATGGCCAAAAAGCTCAGTGTTAGTCTCATCTGACCAAAGAACCTTCTTCAATGTGTCTGGGGAGTCTTGTCACATGCTGTTTGTCAAACTCCAAACATGTATTCTTATTTTTTTGTTACAGCAATGGCTTTTTTTCTGGCCACTCTACCATGAAGCCCCACTGTGTGGAGTGCATGGAGTCCTGTGGACAAATACTCTAATTTCCTCCGTGCAGTACCTTAATTTGTTATCTTTTGAGGTTATTGTTGCACCTCTGATTAATTCACTTCCTGTCCGGTCTTTGAGTGTTGCCAGATGACCTTCTCTTGTCAGGTTTGTAGTGGTGCCATATGTTTTCCATTTTGTTATAATTGATTCAATATTTCCATAGGAGGTTTAAAGTTTGAGAATTTTTTAGAACCCAACCCTGATCTGTACTTTACAGCTTTTTCTCTGACCTGTTTGGTGAGCTTCTTGGTCTTCATGTTGCTTGCTTAGTGGTGTTGCAGACTCAAGGGTATATCACAACAGGTCCATTTTATACTAATATCATGTTACACTTTGATTGCACAAAGGTGGACCTTTGTCAACTGATGATGGGACTTCTGCAGTTATTTGGTTGCACACTCAAGATTTGTTTTTTATCTTAATTATTGTTTGTGTCACAATAAACCATTATTTTACACCTACAAAGTGTTAGGCATTTTGTGTACATCCCATGGTACAAACCCCCAAAAAATCAAATTTTAATTCCAGCTTGCAATGCACTAAAACAGGAAAAAAACCAAGGGGGTGATTACCTCCGAAAGACACTGTGTATCCATACCTCCATACCTCCATTGCACCATCCGCCGACGCAGCTGAATTCGGCACCGGCTGCAGTGTAGCAAAGTGCTGTACGGGAGCATGGGTAGGGTAAGTATACAGGGTTCAGTGGAAGCCCTTAGTAATTGGACTGTGAAGGAGCAGAAGCAGTTCACCTATCTGTGCACACTGCTCTTTCTTCCAGTCAGCAGATTCATTGTCCGCAAATGTGCGTGCAGCATACCTGATTGGCTTCTGCTGCTGCCTCTCCCAGCCTGAGTCCTGTTGTACATGTGATTACAATACGCCAATATCAAGGTCAATTCAAGTACCTGTACTAGCTGCATTTAAAAATACATTTCATATTTGTTTAATGGATACTTAACTGTATTTTGGGGTGTTTTATTTATAACTGGGGTTCAGATTTAACACTTTGTAAGGCTCTGCATTACTGGTTGCAATTATTTATTTGCTTTCTACTTGGTGTAAAAAGAAATACTACTTGCAAATTTGCAAAACTTTCAAAGAGCCACATATAATATGAATATTCCTTCTATAAAAATGAGTACCATTAGTTTAGGCCTATTTGCATCTGGGGTCTTTCCAGCCCTGTATCTGTATTTTGTAAATAGGGTTGGCTGGAATGTGCTAAGCAATATGGACCTTCAGTAAAATGGCACCCTTCCAAACTACTCTTTAACAAATCTGTCTTTTGTTAAAAGCAGCTTCTCCTTATTCACTATTGTAATGCATTTAAAAATCAACTCAAGCTAGTTGGTTCCCAATAACTACAAAAGTCTTGCCTAAATGATTTCTGTTGCAGCTAGATGTTAATTGATTTAATATGTCTCCAGGATTTGAGTGTTTACACTTGAATTTGTAAATCCTTCTGCCTACTCCTAATACAGTAAACTCCCCATTATCTGGCATTCAAGCGACAAGCACTCTCAAGCAACCAGCAAAAAAAAAAAATCGAGGCCATATGCACTCTAAAAAAATTGTGTTAGCATCTAAATGTATTTATTTGCTAACGAAATTCTTCGTTAAATCTTGCTGCCGGCAGGCGGCTAGATTCTGCAATCTGCAGCAGAATGTAAACGGGAAGCAATAGCCAGCCTGCTATTTGGCTACTGCAATTTGAAATAGCCAAAACAGGCTAGCTATTGCACCTGCCCACTGAGCAGAGGAGAGGACCTGCGAGAGAACTTTCTTGAGTTACTATTAACGCTCAAGCAAACAGACTACAGTTATCCTGCATCTACCGATCCCCATGAGTACCGTATAACTGGGAGTTTACTGTATTGTGTGTAAGAGTGGCACAAATGGCTGAAGTGGAACATAATGACTGGGGGTTTCATAGCTTGGGACTGCACAAAAGGATCTCGCTGCTGAAATCTACAGGAAATGTAAGAAGTCATTAGGTGATTCAGTCCCCCTCCAGCATCCTTTTCAAAGCTGACATATCAGTTTTGGGTACAAAAGAAAGATCAGCAGCATGCAGGTATTTCAAAACTCAGTACATGGGATACAATGGCTCACCATGTACACAAAATCTTTACTCCTAGCACATGAAAGCAATTACAATTATTTTTAAAGCTGAAGTCTAGGCAACTTTCCATCCATTCCTAAAATTTACACAGCCCTGTCGCATGGTAAAACCAGCCTGGATACCTAACGTCTCTGCTGTAGTGGAATAATACAACTATGTTCCCTTCCTGCCCTGAGCCTTTGACTGGACAGTGAAAGAAAAGCAGCAGACTAATAAAGTAATTTCTCTTTCACTCTTTCCTCATATCAGCATCGTCCATGTTAGCACTTAAGCAGTGAATCACAACTGATTTTGCTCATTGTATTTAGTCTAAGTTCTGCTGTACAAGGGATTTAAGAGGCCAATATACCAGTTCTCTATGTACGGTCCAGCTTGGTGCTATTTATTGTGGATGGCACCTAGATGCAATGTGCATTAAAGGAGAATTATGAGGTGAGTGATTTTCACTCATCCCCATAGTAAGAGCCGACGTGTGACAATGAAACTGTCACTCCGGGTCTATTGATGAGGAAGTGAGCGAACACATACTGTCTCTCGTTCACTTCCCAATCATCTCCCTGCAAAGAGTGGGGACTGTTGGTCACCGCTCCCCGCAGAAATCCCCCCCCTCCATTCCTCCTGCACTGAGTGGAGGAAAGGACAGGGGAGGGGGCGGGTACAGCTGGCTCTGCCTCTAGATAGGCAGAGCCCGCTGTCAATCAGCCAGCTGGGTGGATCTCGACAGTATTGTCTGGATCCATCCCGGCTACGGCGCTCTCAGTATATAGTGAGCTATAGCTCGCTATATATTGAGTTTTGGGTCATGAGATGACGGTATATGTCCACCCTAAGGTTACCCCATAGTTCTCAACTACCAACACAAAACATGGCAGCACATCACAACACTCATACATGTATATTAGTTGGTCCTTTGAGGTTTGTTGGCAAAGTATTCATAATGAAACGGATGCTGTAACACAACACATGTTAACTCGCAACATAATGTGCATTAATGCAGTTTGGAAAAAACAATTACTGCTGAATAAGCTCTTAATGATTTTTACTTGCCAGCAGTGCAGCTTTAAAGGAAAACCTAAGGGATTAAAAAAAAAAAATGTATGCAACGCATATCATTGCTACAAAATCAGTTTTGTAATATAACTCTGTTCAAAAACTGACTTCACATTTCAGTATGCATGCTTCAGTGTACATGCAAGATGTATAATATGTTAAGCGGAAATCAAATCACTGATGCCCCTGCTCCAGCGATCCAATGTCCGTTGCCGCTGCTGACGTGTTCTCCCTGATTTCTTCAAGGGTCTAGTCATTGGCCAAATTTTATTGGCCAGCAAGGGAAATTGTGACTCATGCGCTTGTGCATGGGAGAGGGAGCTGATTATATTGTTGGATGCAGTTTTTACCATGGCATCACTGAATTTACAATTTCGTTAATGTGTACTTGTTTTTTTTTTCCTGATTTTGCTGCCTAGTGCATTCTGAAAAATTGGGGTTTAATGGCCAAGTTATACCTCCAGCCTAAAATCTTAAGGCCTCTAACTTGCTAAGTAGTCATTCTGCAGTAGTTTCTGGGTTCCTACCACTTCTGCGCCACTGTAAATGCAGTATGGTTACAAAAAACTGACCTGACAGTTTTCAGCCATTGGCAGCCAGAATGCACCTATAGTTTCTGGGCCCTTCCGTGTTTCCACCAAGTGACTAAGGCATACTTGTATTACTTTTTATGTATCAGAGTAGTATAACTTTTTTTTTTTCTTTATAGCATCATTGCCTACTTATATACATAACAAAACAAAAAAAAGACTAGAAACTATTTTTTTATTTTTTTTGTTTAGTTTTACATTTTGTTTTGGATTTTTTTGCTTCAGTTACAAGTAACCCTATTATAAATTTATTCATTACAAATGTTCAAAACATTTACAATCTTAAAGGAGAACTATGGGGTCAGTGTTTTTCCCCATAGTTTTCCTTAGGAAACGGGAGGACACAAACTAGCGTCCTCCCGTTACCCTAAGCTCAGTATACCGCGAGCTACAGCTCGACATCAGACTGTTTTCCTTTCATAGGTTGACTGTCTTACAATTGCTGTTTGTTTTGCAATCTATCACTGGTCAAAAACTTAAAGAGCCCTGGGACTCAAGTGGGTTCATATAGGTTTAAGGTGCTGGGAGTCGATTGGTAACCTAATTCTAATACATCATACAATTTCATTTTTGGGGAAATAGATGCACGTAGTGAACCTAGTGTAACAGATTTATAACAGGATTTAAATTTGTTACTGAAAATATCTGGAAATATATGTTTGCATAGAATTGCAATACATTTTCTCTTTTTGTATTTGCAAACATTTTATCACTTGCAGAAATGTTTTTTCGAAACCTGGTCAGGAACATGTACAAATATACTCTGAACTTTACTTCATTTGCCTAGCCTGTTTGTAAATTACCCTGTTTTGCAACATGTGGCTACTGCTTTGTGTGTTTGTAGGTATCAAAGGTCATTGTTTGAAATTTGTAATTCAATATCTCCTTAAAAACCCACTTTTATTCCAGTCGAGAAATTGGATATTCCATGTCATACAAATATGCTTATGCCTTGGTTCTATTTAGGTTACCATGATGATAACACGGACTTCCGCTTCTCCATTTCAACCCTTTGAAAACGTTATGAGTCGCTGGCTGTTCGAGCTGCAGAAAGCCCCAACAGCAGCTGAAAAAAGACCCCTAGCCAATGACAAAGTAGAGCCAGAAGTAAAAGAAAAATCTGACAAGGAAGTTGATGGCGAGAAAAATCCAGATTCCAGTGGAACCACAAGAAAGAGATCTGTTAAAAAAGTAACTGAAACTGACTGATAAACCTGGAAATACTTGGTTGTTCATGCCAACTGTTAAAGCACAAAATGTGAATTGCTTGTGATGATTGAAATGTGAAATGTAATGGCTTTGTTCAGGTTGTATTAACACTATGGAAGGTCAGATTCTTTCAGGAACCAGTCAGTCCAATGTGGGAGCCAGCAGGCATTTATACATAAAAAGAACGTTTATTTTGACATCGATGACAACAGAGAATTTTCAGAAAGTTGGGCTTCAGCTGTAAAGGTTTGTGTACATTTGGCTTCCTGGTTCCTGGGATTTGCCCTTTACTGATGTACACAAGATCATACGTTGATGCTTATGTATTCAGTTTTCTTTTGTTCTTGTATTTAATGTGAAACCATCTACCATATTACATAATTCCCATATTTATATTTCCCTACATTGTTTCAACATTGTTCTGTGAAAAATGTATTTGCCCACTTTTCAGCTTGCAGTATGTTGCAGTTAATTTCATCAGATCTTTTTGTAATAGCAGTATATGAATAGAGTAAGAGATAAAAACACTATTTTTTTTTTTTTTTTTCATTTAAATTTTTTTGGTGTGGATGATAATGAAATGTGCAATCATAGGTGCAAAATTCTAACTCCTAACTGAAGTTGTTCTAAATAATGGGTAAATAGAGTTAGCTGTTTGATTATATCCAGGCGTGTCCAGTATAATAAAACTATCCGATTTAACTATTTAAATTTTAATTGGATTTTTGAAATCACCGCATTCCTTTCTCAAAGAAAGGAGAAATTACACTACATGAAAACAATATTCCATTCCTATTGTACTAGAACTGACAAAAAGATCTGTTGAAATGGAATTTAAAAATATGCAAGAAAGGAGAAAATGAAAAGGGGAAAAATACTTTTGCATTGTACCTGTGAATCCATTTAAATTAGATGCAAACATTAATGCACTTGTAATTTTTCTTGTGGTGTGGAGTTTCTATAGCTACTAGAGTCGTATCTTTTTTTCCAAGAAAAGTAAGCAATACATTTCAGAATATTTGAATAAAACAAAGAACCTAGATAGACTTTTACAATGTTTATTAATTTGATCATAAAATTAAATATTCTGAAAAATCTTTTAGTTAGACATTAAAATGTTAGATTTTTATATTGTAATACAGTTCTTTAAAAACTGCATTCAAATTTAGTTTTCTACTGGTTGATCTGGTTAGTGTTGTCATACTGTTGTAAACACATTGCTTTTTGTATTCTTTGGTACTCAAAATGTGACTTTCAAAATTTTTCTCACTGAACTTATCGAATGAATGGCATCTTAATAAATAGCTATAGTTTTGGAGCACTATGTTTTGTATAAATTGGGGACTGATTTTTTTGTTTTGTTTGTGATATTTATTGTGAAATAACAAAAAAATTGTAAAAGCAATACATAAATACCCTTTGGAAGTAATTTTTATTACTGTTCGTATTATAAAAAAAATAGTGTGTAAAGCAAGTTGTACACAATAAAGAACAAGAGAACATAACTGAAAAGAGGAAAGTGTCTTTAAGAGCCACTGTTGCAAACACAAATATAGAAACAAAATGGTGGTAAAAACTTTACTTTTTCTTTACCTAAAATACATTTGTATTTACTGCTGGTCATAATAATAAATATAAAATGTTCACAGAAAATGGAAAGAAAAGTGGGGTTTTGAAAGCACCAAAGTGACAACTCCAGACAAAAAATTTATAAAAAGTTATATTTATTGGTATTAGTTTAAAAAGAGGCTCAACACCAATTTGTAAAAGCAACGGGTTGGGTAGATAGGTCCCTATAAGCTTTTTCCTTTTACAAAAGACCTTTGGGAACACACACATACACCTGCTTGTGTTAAACTGATATCTCCCTTTCTTTCCTGAAGAAGCGCAGAGGTGCACGAAACGTTGAAACCGCTCTTCCATACTTTAACCTTCTAACAGTAATTACCTTTTGAACACATGATCACCACTCATGTCAGTGGCATCACGATAATGGGAATTCACAGGTCTTAAACTGAATTATGAATTTAACATGTTTAACATTTTTATATTAATTTTGTATATTTGAATATCTGAATTAGGGATGCACCGATACCGATACAAGCATCGGTACCGGCGGCGATACAGAGTATTTGCATGAGTACTCGTGCAAATACTCCGATACAAAAAATGAGTACCTGTGCCGCGTCCAGCAGTACTCTGGTTGTTTGCCGAACACAAATTAATGTAGGGGTGGCGGGAAGAGACTTAATTTGTTGTCACTTGTCTGAGATCACATCTGGTTACGCCACTGGAGAGAACTGTGTGGTTTAGCCCCTTCTGAAGTGCAGGGAGATCTGCTTTCACTCCCCGGGCTGTGGGACACGTGTAAAGAGGTAGCTGATTTGCTGTCAAGAGAGCTGCTGAGGTTGTGGGGGATAGCAGCGGACATCAACAGTGAACAGAGAAAGTGGACACAGGGAGATCTATCTGATACATGACCTGGCCCTTTAAGAAAAAGTATCGGTAATTGGTATGGGCGAGTACTTGATCAAAAGTATCGGTACTCGTACTCGGTCTTAAAGTGGTATCGGTGCATCCCTAATCTGAATCATGGTTTGCTATAGTGTTCATACTCTGCTTGTAAGGCAGTGTTAGTGGAGAAAAAGTTTGCTCCACTCCTAAACCCTCCGAGCATTGTTTCCAGGCCTCTATCTATATTATGAATTTTTGGACACTTGATGAATTAACCCTGATCAGGTTTATTTATAAAACCAAATGGTGAATCATGTTCATGTGAATGGAGTGTCTTTTGTAAAAGGAATGAGTTTATAGGGACCTATCTACCCAACCTGTTGCTTTTACAAATTGGCATTGAGCCTCTTTTTAAACTAATACCAATAAATATAACTTTTTATACTTTTTTTTTTGTCTGGAGTTGTCACTTTGGTGCTTTCAAAACCCCACTTTTCTTCTCATTTTCTGTAAACCATTACCAGGGGTGTGGCACCTAGTATCCAGATCCAGGCCAAAACTTCTCTACAAAATATAAAATGTTGTATATGAATCATTTTTTCTATTTTTATCACCAGCCAGCAGCGCTAGCTCCATTCACATGATTCCCTGTTTTTTAAAGCTCAATAGATCAGGGGTCTCAAACTCAATTTACTTAGGGGCCACTCGGCAAATGTTTTTAGTCTCGTGGGGGGGCCGCTTGCCAAATTTCATGCTTTTAAAATAAAATGTAAATATATATTAGTACCAGTGTTAATGCCTGCGCATTTTACAAGCGGCAACTGTCACAAGTTAATGTTCATGTGACAGCAGCTGCATGTAAACGCCTGCACACCACACGTGATCTGCAATTACGAGTCAATTATTCTCTCTGTTGTGCATCCAGGGAGAGTGATTGTTTGTTTTCTAACTGCATGTAATCATATCACATACCTTTTGCATGCAGTGTGCAGACGTTTACATACAGCAGCTGCCACCCCTTCAAGTTAATCACCTGATTAACTTGAGTGGGTGACAGTTGTAGCTTGTAAGCGGAAGTTTAAGGATTCTTGCTGCAGGAAACCGCACAGGAATCCCTAATCACACAAATAAAATAATCCCCCCCCACCCCCCCGCACACCACCAAGCAGACGTTACTAATTGTTCCTTTCGGCCAGCGTTCAGTGAAGATTGTGAGAACGCCGGCCGAAAAGATCTGAGTGCCGGCACTGACGGGCAGCTATGCGGTCTGCATCCGACCAAGCTTTCAGTTCACCCATAATAAAATGTTTGGATGCACCCCTGCCATTTAATTCCAACTGTAGTAAGTCGAGGTTTGAGCTTTTGCTTGCTAGAAAATTGGCATAATTAGGGGAG